GCTCATCAACGTGACCCCCCACTGGCGGTTAAAAGGGTGAGTGAAGAGGAAGAACCGAGGGAGGCAAACAAGGGCTGTGTCTCCAGGGTGCCTGGTTAGGGCTGAGGGGGCACAGGGGAGTGGCAGGGCCAGCACAGGTTGGGGCCGGAGGGGCCAGGAGTCCAGCTGGGTGCTTGCTGGGGGCTGATGCACCTCCCACCCCTGTAGTGAAATCCGATGCCAGCGGCTCTCTGAGACCTGAGCCCAAATCCCATGGATCTTGCTGCTCAAGGATGCCACTGCCACCAACGTCCCTGCTCGCCCTGTCATCGCTGGCACCCTCTCCTGGGTGTTCCTGTCCATCACCTTGCAAGTGTGCCGGACCCCTTCCAGATGCCAACCGTGGCTACATCACCAGGACAACTCCCAGCTCGTGTCCCCAAAGCCCCCGGCCCTCTCCAGGCTCCTGCATGGAAGCGCCCAGACTCTTCTCCCAGGATGCCCCTTGGACCTGCTCTGATAAGGCTTCAGCCACACCCCCTGTCCAGGTCACCAGTGACCTCTCCTCACCTAATCTGAGGCCATTTTTGTATGCTTGCTCCACGAACGTGACCCTGCCCTTCTTGAAATGCCTCCTCCACACATCACTGCCCAGTGGCCCTCCTGCTTCACCAAGTAACTACCTCATTCATCCTCGAACCTCTGCCTCTGCTCAGGGGACACTCTGGGGCTCAGTCTAGGCCTCTCACCACGGGCCCCAACTCCATTCCCAGCCCCACCTTCGTCCCATTGATACAGAGGCTCCCATTCCCAGTTTATTTGCCTCCAGGGTGCCTAGAGGTTTCCCTCCTGCACATCTCCAGTGGGTTAGCGAGTGCCCCTCCCTCAGGATGCCAGGCAGGTGGGTGGGCATCTGCGTGTTTGTAGTTTACTGCCAGCCCCAACAAAGCCTGGCTCACAGTAGCCACTCGTTAAGTAGTTCATGAATAAATGACTCTTATTCAGCATGGGCCAAATCATGAAACCCTATCCTCTCCCCACAGGGATCAGCCAGTGTCCTGTGAACTCACGGAGAGCCTGCTCTGGTCACTGTGCCCATCTCCGCCCTGT